TATAGGTAAAACAAAAAGAATTGTGGAGTGCTCATACATAGCCTTCAGAGGTTTTTTTGCCTTTGAAAATAAACACATCAATTATTGGCAGAAGTTTGATCTCAGAACCTTCTTATCTGGCCTAATGTTCATAAAAATGTCATCACTACATACATTGAGTAATTTTGACTTGGTTAAAAAAAAATTTCTCTTTGGCCGCTTTGTGAACAACTTCACAATAAAAATAGTTGAAGAAAACAGCCAAAAGGCTAATAAAAGCTACCCAGTGGTGGATGGGTAGATAGACAGCATTGAATGTAATATGATTTCTGCTTCACTGAATCCCAAACTGCCCCTCTATTTGTATTTATGGAATCAGAATGCATCTTTCTAAGCATAATATTCTGAAGACAATATCTAGGATGAATAAAAATTAGAATATTCAAATAAAGTGTTTACATGTGTTAATTCATACACTTTTGTAAGTCAGGACTTCTCAGTTGCAAGCAGCAGGAAACCAACACAAACATGCTAAAGCAAAATAAAAAATAAATAATAAAAAATGACCCTCGGTGGACACTGACATGAATAAGTAAAAAATTACTTGCTGTTATAATTCACTGAGATTTGTTACTGGAGCATAGTCCAACCTGACTGATACGGAGAATGATCTTAGTTTCTAGCTTTCTAGTTCCATTCTCCTTGTGAGTTGATTTTATTTCACTTCCCATGAAATCCCCTAAGATCACCTAAATGGGTTTCTGATCCTTGCAATCAGTAATCCTTGACAAAACTGATAAATGATATTTATTTATAACTATTTGATTCTTAAACATTTATCATGTAATAGATTCTATCCTTCTATATGCCAAAGTTAAGTTGTATGCATACTTTGAAAAGTCCATCAACTTGTTTAGGGGAGGGAAGTGCCATTTATTATACTAATGGTAAGGACAAGGGTTCCCTGTACATTATTCTCATTATACAAGAACAGATGGCTGTGATAATTGCCTCTTACTTTATACAAACTGTGATTTGACCTGAAACTCCAATTAATAGCATCTTTTCATGGCATATACAGGAGAAACAATTTCTGCTACTTTAAACAATATCTTTATTGGAGTATCTGAAAAAAAAAAAACTGAGCCTTATCAGTTATTTTAGATTTCTTATAGAAAACCAAAATACTTTGGTTTAATATATAAATCTTTGTGTAGTATTCTTATTTCTTGAGCTTAATTCAACTGAATATTCTCTCTGGACCCATGAGGAAGAGGCTTACTCTTTTAGACCACCTTTCAGAGCAGCTTTGGACTGTACCCTCTGCTCTGAAAGGATCCAGAAAAGTACCACAAGTTGGGGGATGAGATTTTTATGCAGTAATTGTTGACTGGTGAGACACTGACTTCTGTTTTCCATGGATAGTTTATGGTTGTGTTGTTGAACTGATATTAGTCAATCATAAACATTTAAATTACTTTATCAAAATCCTTTCACAAATATAATTTTAACTTCCTTACATCTTTGTAGGTGGGAAGTACAGACAGGTGATGAGACTTGCAAAAACTTCCTGCAAATAAGTGGCAGTATCGATTCTAGAACCTGGATCCCCCGTTATCTAGTTCTTTCCATTATGCCTGGGTACAGAGAGGAATAACTGTCTTCTCTCTAACAGTCTCCTTAACATCTGCAAAAATGTTTACATGGCACACCGAATGTTCTAATTGTACTAGAAGTAAATCAAAGGAAACGTAAAACCATGAACATATGCTGCCTGTTACATTTACCACAGGAATATACAGTCTATACTGTGTTTACTGCTGACATATAGTTAACCGAATGTCATTTTTAGTGGCATTATATAATACATTTTGCTACCTAAATATTTAATGAGATGCCACCATAAAGCTAAGCAGATATTTTTTTCCGGGATATTTTGGAAATGAAGGCATATTAACTGACAGTTTATTTTAAAATATTGTTTAAATTGCAAATTTTCACTTATAAAAACAAAGGTAAGAGAAAAATAACATTTGAGCCAAGATTAAGAATGAATAGTGTTTAGAAAAGAAAGGAAAAGAAAATCTTTGCTTAGTAGCATGAACACAAAAGGATCATTACAAATATATTACTGACTCAGTGACTTCTTTTTTTATTTTGAGATGGAATCTCGCTCTCTCACCCAGGCTGGAGTGCAGTGGTGAGATCTTGGCTCACTGCAACCTCTGCCTCCCAGGTTCAAGCGATTCTCCTGCCTCAGCTACCTAAGTAGCTGGGATTACAGGCATACGCCACCACGCCCAGCTAATTTTTGTATTTTCAGTAGAGATGGGGTTTCAACATGTTGGCCAGGCTGGTCTTAAACTCCTGGCATCAAGAGAGCTGCCCACCTCAGCCTCCCAAAGTGCTGGGATTACAGGTGTGATCCACTGTGCCCAGCCCTGATTCGGTGACTATTGAAACACCAGAAATTCAAGGATAACATCAGGATTTAGGAATGAGAACTGTTTAAAATCACAAAGTAATAGTAGGGGTTTCAATTGCCCATTTTAAAGTGTCTACAAAATCACTTTTTGGTGTTATAATTCTTTTAACAAGTTGAATAAAGGAATATAGCAAGTACTGATACTAAATAAAAACTGCTACCAGATATTTGACTTATAAGACCAGTATTTATTATTATTTTTAATGTGTTATTATTTTTCATGGATTTCTGAAGGCCACAAATATCTGAAACACATTTTAATCTGGCCAGTTGAAAACTATTTTATTTTGAGACAGAGTCTTGTCTGTCACCCAGTGATATTTTTAATGCCACTTAAAAAACAAACTTCAGCCATTTTATATCTTGAATATGTAAGATGATGATTTAAGATACCTTGAATGTGATGTGTGATGATTTATTATATCTTGAATGTGTAAGATGTGGGAAATACTTATCTGTAGGACTTACTCTATCAGTAGAAATGACTAATATGGTAGACTATGAATGAAAACTTTTCAGGTCTAGTAATAATCTGTGTTGATACTTTGGAAACCTAGTTATTATGATTATTTGCTGTCCTATTTTTGCAGGGCTCAGAAATTCTGGCCCATGAGCTTTTGTGGAGATAGAAGTACCATTAACTAAAACATAAACTACATGAGGAAACTGACTGCTAACACATTAACTTCCTTATTAATTCAATAAGGTGGGGGAGTAATGTTTGTTGTTCATCTAACAGATGACAAGTGAATGTTAAAATCTGTCATTATTCTGTCTTATTTTTTTCTTGGCAGTGTAGTAATCCTCATATTGACTGAACAAAAATTATGCCTACTAACTGTTTTGGAAAAAATGTGCAAAGATCAGAGAATAAAGTAGTCTTCTAGCCTACTTATGTCATATCTCAAAGGTTTTAACACTCTTTTCTTTGGCAGACAGACATCTAAATTTCAACCCAGTCAGCACCAGTGTCTGTCTACTCATAATTTCTAATGCCAATAAACAAATGGTTTAACATTTCAAATTGACAGGGGCTTGACAGCGATTTAAAGGTTTCTTTTGGTCTTAATGGATCAAGGAAAGGCTCTCCATCATAAAAAAATAATGCTGTGCTTTAACCATCCTAATTAGCTGTGACTTTCAGTTCTTTTTCCAGACAGTGATTAATTTTTTATTTCCAAGGATACATTGTAGGGCAATTCAACATAGACTATAGTTAGCAGTTTAAAAGTGAAATCTAAATATGAATTAAAAACTGGCTGTGAACTAAAGTTTTGAAAACTTTTAAGACTAAATGTCAATTTCAAAAATTTAAATTCAACTGTTCTGAAAACAGTGGTGTGTGCCCAGTTAGGCTTAAATTTGTGCTAAATGAAATCTCCATCAGTACTAATATGATTTAACAGGTTATATGTGAGAACAGAATGACTGTAAACATGGATCACATTCAACTGGGATAAGGAGTTGAGAAAACTTTTACTGATTGCTGAAAATTATGACTTTTTTTCTTGCTGTAAATAAAATATCAATGTTCCAGCCTTAACTCTGGGGTTGGCCACTTGCAAAAGCTACCCTTTCTAAGCTCCAGGGAATGTTGGGAGACTCTGAGTGAGGCCACAGCTGAGGCCTGAACACCATCTTCACTGCTCTATCTCATCCTTGGGTATGTAACTCAGTGATGGAAAGAAAAGCTCCTTCCACTCGTCTTGAATCCCTGCCCTGCCCTCCACAGCCCCAACTAAATGGATCATTTAAAAAGTGAAAATCAAATTCATGCACATCTCCTTAAGAGTGATTCCCTTCCTTTTAAGCAGTGTGGGCATATTATAAGGATCTTCTTTTTCATGAGGCTCATTTCATTTATGTCTGTGTGTGTACAGAGAACAATAGATAAATACAAAAATAACATGATAATTAAAATATATAGCATGCCACACTGGGATAAATACTACTGAGGAAAACAAAGCTGAGAAGGAACTAGAGGGTGTCTTGCTGGGTGGCACTGCAAAGCTGATATCTGAGCAAAGAGCTGAAGGATGCAGCTAAGTGAGCCATTCATATGTCAGGTAACTGGGGAAGAGAGCTTCAGGCTGAGTGAACACGTAATGCAAAGGACCTGGGGTAGGGAGGTGCCTGATGTCACATAAGGGACAGCAAGAAGCAGTGTAGCTGGAGCAGAGGGAGTAAGTGGAAGGCCACGAGGTCGAGGGGGCCAAAATGGAAGAGGTCATGTAGGTCCTCATAGACCATTCCAAGGACGGGCTGAGAAGCGTGGAGGGTTTTGAGCAGAGGAGCGGCATGACCTAACATGTTGCTAAAGCCTCTTTGTGTCTAGCCATGGTGGAAACATCAAAAGAGACCAGAAAGATGAATCTGGTAACAGGTGTCCCAAAGTTTGCACATATAACTACTGAAAGAGAAAGGGGTTGAATCCTGGAGAAGTGGGTGTGTGGGTAGTTGGGAGGAGGAGATTTCCCTAGGAGATGCACCTGCCTGGCTTCCAGATCGCAACTGCGCAAACTCCGGTCCCGTCATTCCAGTCCCAGGTCCCAACTCCGGAAGGGTACGGCTCTAAGCCTGCACCTCCCTTTGCCATAGCAACCGCTGGCTGCCCCTCCCTTCTGCCTTTTGAGCACGTGGCACCAGGACCCCGCGATCTCTCCAGCTCGAAAGCCAGGTCTGGCCCAGAGCCGGGCTCATCAGTATTCCGCCCGCGGCGCCCACCCCCCTACCCTTCGCGGTGCCTCACCAGGTGCGTCTATCCAGTAGCTAAAGACTCCCGCCGTCCGCGCGACCCCAGTGTCCCCACTCCAGACCCTCCCCGGGGCTTCGCAGCCCGCCCTGCCCTCGAGCGTGTCTAACGGCCCTGGGCACTGGCGCTGATCTGCCCAGCTACGCAGCGCTTTCCCAAACACTGGCCGCGGCCACCGGCTGCAGACCCACCGAGGAGAGGGGGCGTCCTGCGTCCCACTCGCAGGCAGCGCGCCCCGAGAGACCCGTTCTAAGGCATCCCTGCAACAACTCTCTAGGGGGAATCAACTCCCCCGTGCGCTGGTTAAGATTCCCCCTTGCCTCCTGCAATGCACCAGACCGGGGAGGTAAACATCGAAGGCACCTGCATTGCGCCCCCGCTGGGATGCGCTGTGCGCAAGAGACTGGGACCATCTGCTGCAACACCGGATGATCGGAGGCGCAGGGAGTTAGAGTGGGTTTTCTTAGGACTCACCTTATGTAGTTTCCACATGGCACCCAGAGCCTTGACTTCGTGGCTGGAGTGTTTGCCCTCCTCCAAGCATTGGTAGCACACGGGCATCTTGCACTGCACGCAGTACATGCTGTGGTTCTCCAGCTCGTGGTCTGTGCAGGTGGAGACCTTGCGAGGGCTCAGTCGCCGGCTCACCCGGCCCTGGGCCGGGGGCACCAGGCGATGCTTGGCTAGAGGCCCCCGGGGCGGATGGCAGCGCAGGCGGCAAGGATCGCAGTAGAAGACGTCGCACTGTTCGCACATGACGGTGGCTTCCTTGGGCGCCTTCTCGCAGAGCTGGCACTTGAGGGCCGCGGCTTTGCTCTGCTGGTAGCGGTCAATTACCCCTTCCAGTACGCGATTCTTGGGGAAGCCGCGGAGCCCCCGGTCATCCAGGATGAGGCTGCGGTGACACTGGGGACAGGTGATACAGGAGTTGCGGGGCACCGGGGCCAGGGCCGGTGACAGGTGGGTGGCCGGTGGCGGCATAGCCGGGGGAAACACGCGGACGCCGTTAGGGGACTTCTGGCACGGGGTAGTGGGGGCGCTGGCGAAACCCCCGTAGGAGCCATAGCCGCTGTCCGCCTCGCTGTACAGGCTCATCTTGTCCAGGTCCAGGTAGTCATAGTCGGAGACCCCGGAGCCCGAGGCCCGACGGCTCTGAGGGGACTCAGACTCCGGGGTCTGCACCAGGATGTTGCGGGCGCACGCCTGACACAAATTGTGAGAGCAGGGCAGGATGATGGGCTCCCGATAGAAGGAGCCGCACACGGGGCATTTCAACTCCTCTTCCATCTCCTCCATGGGGTCGGGTCTGGGAGGAGGCAGCGGCGGCTGCAGAGGGTGCCTGAGCTGGCGAGGTGGCCGAGGGGCTCGTCTTGTCCAGCACCCTGGCCAGCGGCGGCGGCGGCGCCTTCCCGCGTCGTGCTGGCGTGGACACCCGGAGAAGCGCTAGCTCTGTGAGCCGCTGTCGCGGAGCCGCCGCGCCGCGCGCCAGCCCGGACCGCCCCCTCCTGCCCTCCTAGTCCCGCCCTGGCCCAGGAGCCACGGCCCATTGGGCGACGGGCGAGAGATCAAAGCTCTCATTGGCCACCAGACCCGTCCGTCTCCTCGTCTCCGCAGGCCACAGGGGGTTCAGTGGAGTCTGAAGATAGGGGTGTCTTCGCTCGCGGCTGCATGATCTCTGGAGGGGGCCGGCGTGCGGAGGGTAGGGGACGTGGAAGGAGGAATTAGGCGGGGTGACTCATCCTCGCCCCGCTTCCTTCCGACCTCCGGTGCAGTCTCCCAGGAGCCAGGGGGCGTGAGAAACCCCTCCCCGCAGCGAGGGGGCTGGCGGAGGGGGCTGGGACTTCTCGCCAGCGTTTGCGTTTGGCTCTGAGCTCCGCGCCCACCTACCGCGGGCGAGCGCTGCGCAGCTCCGAGGACGCCCCTTCTCTTCCGCTACTGGCAGCCTTCGCAGGCGCCTCACTCGGGCTTAGGCTTCTGCACAGCAGGGGGGCTTTTCTCCCTCCCCGTGAAGCCGCGGACGCCAGGCCCTGGAGCTCCTCCATTGCGAGAGTCTGACGGCGCTGGCGCGAGCCCTGGCAACACTCTTGGCTTGTTTCACCCTGCGTCCCTCGTTTCCTAAAAAGCATGTATAAAGTCGATTTCCTGGTGTCGCCATGAGATTCCACTGGGTAACTCATGCAAAGGCTCAGCATTAGTCAGAATCTATGACCCCTTCGTTTCACGCTTTAAATTATAGCTCGGCCCAGAGGCCTCAGTGCCATGGTGTGAACGTGCTTCTTTCCACGGATCCGTCTTCCTCCTCCCAGCCTCCCAAAGCACCTGGCTGAGCTTTCACGAAGCCCGCAGGGCCTTTGGTTCGGTTGAGGCAAGAATAGTTTATCTATTTCTGAGTGCCCATAGTTTAGTAAAGCTCTGTAAATGAATTACTGTGTTAATGCGGAGTCTGAGTGTTTGACTCCAGACAGCGTTATTCAACCCCACGTGCCCTGAGCATCTGCCACAGCTTACAGCATGGTGTGCCTTCCTGTTTCCTCCAAGGAGGGGCGTGGTGAGCCTGTGGTTGTAGTGTTCGTCCCTGTAAAAGGAAGCAGGGAGGAAGGAAAGAAGGAAAAGAGGGAGGGAGGGAGGAAGGAAGGAAGGAGGGGGAAGGAAAGGTGGGAAGAAGGAAGGGAGGGAGGAAGAAGAAAAGGAAAATCTTTTAGTCAATTCTGAGGTAGTAACATTTGAAATAGTACATGGCTGGCTTTTGCTGAGTGATTCATGAAGTAAAGGACAAAAACTCTGCAAATTCTAGAAATCTTCCCATTTTCCTCCTTCCAGGCAGGAGATAACATGATTATATATGCAACTATGTTAATAACTTAAAACTACTTTATTGTCCAGAAAAAAATGGACATTTTATAACCCTGCCTTTGTAGCAATTGTCCAATAAACTAGGTTATCTTTTCAATAACTTCAGTTGCAACGAGAACAGTAGTTGATCATTGTGTGGGGGAATAAAGTCTTCATTGTTATTTAAAGCTTTGTTAATCATAAATGCGATGTGATTTTTTTTAAGCTGGCTTTTAACTAGTTGAGACCAGAGCATCCAAAGATATATGTACTCTGTTTACAGGCATAGATAAAATTTCTTCAGGTGTGGTTGGGACATTAGCTGCACTTGCAGGATATGCTTAATTTGTAGGTTCCAGGAGAAATTACTTATAATTAATTTAATATAGTATAATTTAATTGTATTGAAAGTTAATTATTGAGAAAATATTAGAAAGGAGTGTCCTTTTCTGTTTTTTGTGTGCATTTGACCACAAGTAACAATTCCCTGGACAGACAAGGTGAGCAGCTGTTACACTTTGTATGAGTTTGAACTCTGCTGATCATAGTGTATCCTCTAAGAGATCTTCTAATTAGCAGAAAGTTTATGCTTAGTTCAGTGTAAAGGATAATCTTAGAGGACGTCTCATGGTGTAATGCAGAGTTGGGTTCACAAAAAGAACAACACAGATTTATAATATAGTCAATATAGAAAGATTTGGTCTATTATGAAGTCATTTGAGATGATTTCATTGTTAGATCTGTTTGGTTAGGAATTAGCCAAATTAGTCAATCCTAGGAGAGCTCTTAAAATGACTGTTATTTGTCGAGAGTTCACCGTGTTCCAAACAGGGGGTTTATTTATTTGTATGCATTACTTGGTTAAATTCCTACAATTACAAAAAGAGGTAGGCACAAATATTCCCATTTTACAGATGAGTAAACTGAGGATAAGCAAAGACACTTAAGAACTCAAGGTCAAATATGGTGAAGCTGGGATTGAAACCCAGGCACATATAAGTTTGTTCCTTTGTTCATTCATTCATTCATTCATTCATTCAACAAGTGCTAAGTTCTACCCTCTTCAAGCTCTGCATGTGGTAAGTATCCAAAATCTTCTTTGTTAACTTCTATGATATTCTGCTTACCTTCCCTGAAAGTTTACTTTTTTTCCTTTTTGGGGGGTGTGGGGAAGGGACTAGAGTCTTGCTCTGTTGCCCAGGCTGAAGTGCAGTAGCAAAATCTTGGCTTACTGCAACCTCTGTCTCCCAGATTTAAGCGTCCCAAGTAGCTGGGACTACAGGCATGAACCACCATTCCTGGCAATTTTTTTTTCTTTTTTGTAAGTAGAGAAAGGGTTTTACAATGTTGGCCAGGCTGGCCTCAAACTCCTGACCTCAAGTGATCCACCTGCTTCAGCCTCCTGAAGTGCTGGGATTACAGGCATAAGCCACCATGCCTGGCCAAAAGTTTACTGTTTTTCTTGAATTCATTTCTTTCTTTCTTTCTTCCTTTTTTTTTTGAGACGGGGTTTCAGAATTCATTTCTTTAAAATATTTTTGAATGCCTTTGAAGATATCCCTTCACATTGAACTATTTGGCCATAATATACTTTATAGCCCCCCCCATGACATATTTAAAGGGGAATAAAAATTGAAATGTAATTGATAATATTATAGAAATATTATACCATTGGGGGAATATCTTCTGTCTTCCAGCTGGTGATCAGTCCATGCCCTGAAGCACAAGGATTGATAGCCCTGTAATTCCATCATTCCTGGGATGACTGCAGATGTTCTCTTTTGTGTACAGTCCCTAATTATCCTCTGAAACTTACTATTCACCCAAATTATGTTCTTTAGCAATGAGTGGAATTAAATTTAAAATGCAATAACAACTTTTGCATTTTTTGAAAAAGATAAATATTTTCTTTTTTTGATAAATGTTTTTCAATGAAAAATTGAGTTGCTTTCCTATTTGCTTTTGACTACAATGCTTGATTATTAACAAAACAGTCTCTGTGAGTCTAAAGGATGAACACAGAGAAGAATGGTTTTTCTTTCCACATTCTCTCCTAGAGCAGTCTGTCCTTAGTTGGAGGGGGCAAAAATCCATGAGAGGACCTGATCTTAGGCTCTAATATTTTAAGATTATCTGATATGTATATAAAAATATTTTATTAAGGTATTTGAATAAGGGTCTTGCTGCATGTGATTTATAAAGCCCCTTATTTGAAAAGTGATAGATGTGATGTTTCTATTTTCAATAGAAATTCTGAAGAAGCTTCTTTTTATGGAATAATTTACCCCGTTTAGTCCACTAATATTCAATTTTATACTTGTAATATTTTGTACTATCCTTTAATAACATAGATTTATTTATTGTTGATATCCTTGGGCAATTTTAATTACATGATTATTATAGTGAATTATGAGCTTTTTCCCATTTAGTACTACTGGAAGATGGCCATATTCAAAAGCTGTAGTATTTATGATTGTAAGTAATATATTACCTATACTTTGGGAAGGGTAGACTGGAGAATCAGAGAAAATGAAAGACTTAATGAACCCTATATGGAGGTAAGAGAGTTGGAGGATAAATCCGGAAGACCTAACTTGTGAATAATAGGAATCTCAGAATGAGGAAATAACACAGGTGAAAGAAAAACCATAGATGGAAAACATTTCCCTGAACCAAAAAAAGATATAAAATTACAGATTGAAAGGATTTTAGAATTATAGATGACACTAATGAAAAAACACCCAGTCATACACAGGCACAATTCTTAACTCAGAAAAAAAAGATCATTTTACAAGCTCCCAGACAGAAAGAACAACTTAATTGTAAAGAAAAAAGAATCAGATTGGCATTGAACTTCTTTCTGCAACCTTACAAGTGAAATTATGTGAAACAAATTCTACAGCCCACTAAAAGTAAAAGAAGTCACCCTGTCATAGTCCATTTTTGCTGCTATAACAGAACACAACGGACCAGATAATTTATAAGAAACAGAAATATGTTGGCTTACAGTTCTGGAGGCTGGGAAGGCCCAGATCAAGAAACTGGCATCTGGTGAGTGCCTTCTTGTTGCACCATTCCATGGTGGAAGGACAGAGAGAGGGCAAGAGAGAGAGCAAGAGGGGGCTGAACTTGTCCTTTTATACAGAAGCCACTCTGGCAATAAGAAACCTATTCCCATAATAATGGCATTAATCCATCCATGAGGGTGGTGCCCCTGTGACCCAAACACTTCTTAAAGGTTCCAACTCCTAACACCTCTTTGGGGATCAAGTTTCCAACACATGAACTTTGGGGGACACAGTCAAACCATAGCACAGCCTATAGCCTGCCAAAAGATCATTTGCTTGTCTGGTCAAAGAAGAATATTTGCAAGAATTTAAAGAATAGAGCACTTAGACATTCCGTCTGAGAAAAATTCTTGAGAAGAATTTTAAACTAAATTACAAATAAATCTTCACAGACTCCTCAAAATGGATTAGGAGCGATTGGGGACCTGAAAGCATCCTAAGGACCTGATACTGGGGAGAAAGAAGAAATGAGAAAGGAAAGGTGGGAAATAGAATGTCTCAGTTGGAGGGATTACTTGTTATCTGTTTTTCTCACATAATAATAAAACAATATCTATATTATGAGGCCTGGAAAAGGAATATAACTATCAATGGAAAGTAAAGTAGAACTTGCAAATTAACACACATAGGGAAAATATTCTGTGAAACTCTACAAGAGCAATTTTTAAAACCTAAATGAAAGGAATACTTTCTGGCAATATATATTAATTGAATTAATTCCTCAAAATAGAAAGATTGAATAGACCAACCTCCATAAAAGGGATTTGAAAGATAATTTCAGATATATCATTAAAAGGGAGAGGATGGTTGCACTGATCCGTTCTAGTTAAATTTTTTAAAACAAGCAATTTTAATGCTTTGAAATAATCGAAATTAAAGAAAAATATGGACTATTTCCCAGTCTGCTTTATGAAGCCATCATGACTTTAATAACAAAACATGATTATATAGTTAATAGAGAATACAATAAATAAAAATCTGTGGTCTGAAACCTAAGTGTTAGATGTAAAAGTACTAAATAGTATGTCAGCAAATAGATTTCAGATTTATATAAAAAGATTAATAAACTATGACCAAGTAGGGTTTTTCCTACGACTGCAAATATAGTTGAGTATCAGGAAAACTGTCAACACATTTTATTACGTGAAAAATTAAAGGGGAAGAATTCCCGCTTTTGGCCTTGTGGGAGTAATATTCCTTCCGTCAACGACTAAAAACCAGGAATAACTATAAGAAACAACCATTATCAGACACTGGCAGAAAATATAGGAATTTAATTCCGCAGAGAAGGCAACCAAGAGATGAGCCCTACCTTCATCCAGGATTTCTGCCAGTTGACAATTTCCAGACTTTGGAACACAGAAGAGGAGCCCAAACAAAGCTCACCAGTCTCTCCTAGTTAAAGACACAGAATTTTGAGAAGGCCATGAGAGCTAGAATTTGCAGAGAGGGAAGAGATAAACAGAGAGTTCTAGGTGTCTGTGTGGGAGTTTGCTTGGATTCTTGACTGAACACAATATGTGCATGTAGAGGGTGAACCTTCACCAGGTTGGACAACTTCTGAGGAAAGAGCATTTACTGGAATTGTAATACAAACAATTCTAAGAGCACACACAGAACCAGGAATAATTCATATTCCCTTCAGCCAGAATGAAGAGAACTCATTGAATATGCAAAAATCAACTGTATCTCTATATACTAACCATGCACAGTTAGCAGTTGATATTAAAAACTGTACCATTTACAATAAGAAAATCAACTCTACAAAATATGTGCAGGATCAAGGCACTGAAAACTATAAAACATCCCAGAGAGAAATTAAAGATGACCTCAATAAGTGAAAAGATATAGTATATTTGAAAAATGAAAAGATATATAAAAACAGAAAGATAAACACCCAAGCCCCTGTGGGGTCCCCACCCCAGCAGTGTGAACCTTCTCCAAAGGGAACCCTGAGGTAGGGGCATGCAGCATTCCCAGACTTCGGAGTCCCACATGTGTCCTGGAGCTGTAGCAAATGAGCTGCCCTCCCCCATCCTGACAGCTTGGGCCTCAAGGGTGGCCAGGGGCAGATTTAGCTGTCACAGTTCTGCCAGTCCATGGCAGCTCTACATTGGAAGCAAAACAGATGGAGGTGAAAGTGGATGTGAGAGGGGCTGCAGCTTACCCCTTCTTCTTCATGTGGGATGGAGGCGGTGGGGGGGGGGTCAGCCCTCCTCCTTGCCTCTCACCCACACAGGCCCCTACCTCTCCTTCAGTAAGCAGAAAAATATGCTATATTCAGTAAATTGAAATATATACTTAGACTGAATATGGCTAAAATAGTAATTTCCTCTAAATTGATCTATAGATTCAATGTGCTTTCAGTAAAAATTTCAGAAGGTTTTTTTTTTGGTGGAAATTGATAAGGTGATTCTAAAATTTACATGAATATGCAAAGAAGCTAGAACAGCTAAAACTATTTTGAAAAAAAGAGAGTACTTGAAAAAGTCATACTAGCTGATTTTAAAACTTACTATGAAGCTGTAATAATTATTGTGTTAATGATTTAAGGATTGACATATAGATCAATGAAAAAGAACAGAATCCAGAAGTAGACTCACGCATCTATAATAAATGAATTGTGTGTAAATATTCTAAATAAGCTGTATGAAAACATCTATTAAAGTAAAAAATATACACACTTTCAACTCACCAATTCCATTGCTAGAAAACTACATTATAGAAAGCATCAACATGTAAGAATACTTGTAGAAAGATGTTTATATTGTCCCCAAACTAGAAAAAAAAAACCAAAAAACTTCCACTGATAGTGTCATGGTTGAATAAATTATATTGCATCCATGGAATGTGATAAATCCATTAACATAACGAATTCATTAGCATTTGATTTAGAGAGATTTCCATCATATATTGTTATTGGGAATATAAGATATATAGGAGGGTATACAAGATAATTTCACTTTTGGCAAGCTGACAGTGCCCCTCCTTAAAGCACCTCTATGTGCCTATGTTTACATATAATTATATGAAGATGTAGAAACTTCTTAAAGCATGCTCACCAGGTTGTAAACCATGGTTACCTGGAAAAATCAGGGGATTAATTATAGGTGGAGATGGAGGGGGTAGAGTATAAGCTGTTAAAAAGGTACCAATTTTACTTCCCCAGCATATGGGTTATATTACTTACGTAAACTTAAGTTTATGCGTGGCTATGTGCTCCTCTCTCTCTCTCTCTCTCTCTCAATCTGTCACACACACACACACACACACACACACACACACACACAACCTATTTTAAAAGAAAAATGACTAGATTTATAGATACTGACATATATGATTATTATCCTATCAAATGAAAAAGACCAAGTTGTAGGCTAATGTGTGTATTATGATTCTCTTTTGTTAAGAAGCCACCAACCAACCCATGCACCCCTAGATACAAATATATTAACTTGAATTTACACATATGAACAAGGAGAAAGAGGGTGTCACAATACTATGTTGTAAGCACTGCTGTGGAGTTGGGGTTAGGGAAGCAGCAAAAAGGGAGATGATTGCTTTATCCTTATACATCATTGTACTGGGTTATTTTACTTTTTATAACGAGTATATGTGATAAATGTGTTATTAGTGAAAAACATCTAATACATAATTTTTAATAGACTTTCAAATTAATTTCTGAAGGACTGTAAGCACGTCTACTTTGGGATTCCCATTTTTCTATCTAATCTTCATGGTTACATACTAGAATTCTGAAGCCATTCTTACGTTTCTAATCTTATATTTGGAATTCTACTTTATGTGTGCTATTATAGTGTTAATCTGATTCATATCATTTGCTCTGTCCTTCTTAGAAATCATAGCTACTTTCTTCTTAAGCCTCCCACTGCAGTCCCAATGCCATTGTTCCCTCTATTGTTCTCTGGATCTGTCTTCCTGGTGAGTTTCTCTATATTCTGTAAGTTTTTAAATATTTTTCCCTGCCTTTAAGATGAAGATAGTTTGCCAGAAAAATACGTTTGTTGGTAGAATCTCTTTTCTTTAGGTGGTTAGTAAATGTTGCCCCAGGATCTTCTATAATGTTTAAGTCTTAAAGTGAGAAGTCATTCACACCACAATTTCTTTTAAATTTAATGGTTACTGCTTTGGGTAATGCTGAAGGACACCAAGTACAGGAATTCTACTCTTAGGATTTTGAAATTGGGAAATTGAAAGATAGAGTTACTTGGAGGACTAGGCAAAAAGGTAATGACTTACTAGAGGCCAAATTAGCTAATGTGGTTATATGGAAGCTAAAGTTCCAAGGTGTGGTAGAATTAATAGTGTTTACTAATATCTCAGTGTCTTTTCCTTCCTGGACGTGTGAGAGACTATATATCTTCACTCTTTGTTATTAGGCAAGACCTTGTGACCAGTTCTGGCCAAAGAAATGTGTGCTGAAATGATAAGTGTTACTTTTAAACCCAATCAGAAAATAGCTTCTGCATAATGTTATAGAGAAGGTATTGAGATTTTGTTTAACCACAGATCAAAACTGCTTGGACAGCTGAATCTCCACATGGAAAGCAGTTATCAGAATCATTGAGTCACTGCCTGGAGAACAACAAAGGAGAAATTAACTTTGGTTGTGAAGGTATGAGGGATCAGTATTACCGTAACATAGCATAGCCTAATGTGACTAACACAATAGTAAAGACATCGGGACCAAGCTCTGATTTTTTATCTTGCCCAAATTCCTATTTAAGGAGTCTGGGAAATCATGCCCTACTAACCATAATTCTTATCAGATGGGTTTTATTTAACTCTGTATACCATGACTTACTTTCCAATCTGACTCTGGTATAACAAGGAAGAAAATCAAAATGTTTTACCCCAAAATATATTTCCTTAACATACCTTCAAATTGCATTGCAAAGTCTCTTGTGGGAAAAGTCCATATTCTATAGAGAATCCCCTTTCCCCTTTGTTTTCCTTCCTTCCTTTCCAGATCCAGGAGATAATCAACTAATAATCTAATAAAGGACTTACATCCAAAAATACAGAAGGGACACTTAAAACTAAAAAAAAATTAGAAAAATGAACCCCAACTCAATTAAAAATGGGCAAAAGATCTTAATGGAAATGTCACCAAAAATAATATAGAAATGTGTAAAAATAATATATTTTCATATGCTTAGTAATATGTCATTAAGAAATTGCAAATTAAAGCAACAGTGTGGTACCACTACACACCTATTAGAATGGTTAAAAATCCCAAATTGTCCATGTGTAGCTGGTCTAGCAATTATGCTCCTTGATGTTTACTCAAATGAGTTGAAAACTTATATCCATACAAAAAGCTGCACATAAATTGTTCTTGTCTGTTTTGGGCTGCTGTAATCAAATACCATAAACTGGTTAGCTTATGAACAAGAAAAATTCATTTCTCACAGTTCTTGAAGCTGGGAAGGCAAAGTCCAAGATCAGGGTGCCAGCAGATTTGGTGACTGGTGAAAGTCTGCTTTCTGGTTCACAGCATGTTCTAGCTGTGTTCTCACATGGTAGAAGGGGCAAACAAACTCTCTGGGGTCTCTTTTGTAAGGGCACTAATCCTATTCATGAGGGCTTCTTCATGACCTACTCATCTCCCAAACGCTTCACCTCCTAATGCCATCACCTTGGAGGTTAGGATTTCAACATATCAGTGGGCAGTGGGGGGAGACAGAAACATTTAGACCATAGCATAAATGTTTATAGCAACTTCATCTATAATTTCCAAACATAGATATTGCTCATTAGGTAAATGGATAAACATACTGTGGTACATTCATACAATAAAATATTATTTATTGATAAAAAGAACTAGCAAGCCACAAGAAGATACAAAGGAAACTTAAATACATATGAAGTCAACATGGCCAGTCTAAAAAGGCTACATACTATACATACTTCTATGATTACAACTACATGACATTTTGGTTACAAATCTACTTGCAGTAGAAGATAATACAGTGGTTCAGAGGACATGTTTTATGATCAGGCAAACCTGGGATGCGGTCTTAGCTTTTCCTTTTTTTTTTTTTTGAGATGGAGTTAGGCTCTTGTCGTCCAGGCTGGAGTGCAGTGGCACAATCTCGGCTCACTGCAACATCCACCTCCCGAGTTTAAGCGATTCTCCTGCTTCAGCCTCCTGAGTAGCTGGGATTACAGGCGCCCGCCAGCACACCTGGCTAATTTTTTGTATTTTTAATAGACATGGGGTTTCACCATGTTGGGAGACTGGTCTCCAACTCCTGATCTGAGGTGATCCACCCGTCTCGGCCTCCCAAAGTGCTGGGATAACACATGTGAGCCACCGTGCCCAGCCTTAGAATTTCCTTCTATGAGCTGTGTGAGGCACTAGGTAACTTGCCTTGCTTCTGTAAGCCTCAATTATTCCTTCTATAAGATGGGGATAAACATATGGTTTCAGTTTCTTAGATTTGTTAGGAGAAGCTGAGATTAATGCATGTAAAGTTTGTCTAGCTTAAGTCTTGTCAATATTGTAAATCTTGTTCCAAAATTCCAACTCTTAGTTTTGTCTATATTGCCTATATGTGTTATAATATTTATTATTTCTTTCCTTCTGCTAACTTTGGGTTTAGTTTGCTCTAAACCCATTATAGTTCTTTGAGGTTTAATGTTAGGTTTTTGATTTGAGATCTTTTTTCTTTTTTAACGTAGGATTTTTCTGCTACTAATTTTCCTCTTACTACAGCTTTGTTGCATCCAGTAAATTTAGGCATGTTGTATTTTTAGTTTCATTTGTCTAAAATTATTTTCTAATTTTCTTTGAGATTTATTTTTTGACTCATTGGTTGTTTGAGTGTGTTGTTTAATTTCAAGCTATTTGTGAAACTTTCAGTTTTCCTTCCACTATTATTTCTAGTTTGATGAAACTAGATATAGTGGTCAGAAAAGATACTTGGTATGATTTCAGTCTTCCAAAATTTAAGATTTCTTTTGTGATTTAACATGTAGTTTCTCCTGGGAAATGTTCTGTATGTGCTTAAAAAGAATGAGTATGCTGCTGCTGTTGTGTGCATAGCTCCGTATATCTGTTAGGTCTATTTGGTCTATAATGTTAAATTCACTATTTTCTAACTGATATTCTTTCTGGGTATCCTAGTCGTCATTGATAGTGGAGTTATTGAAGTCCCCTACTATTATTATTTTGCTGTCTATTTGTCCCTTCAGAACTCCCAGTGTTTGCATTATGTATTTTGGCGCTGTAATGCTGTGTAAACTGACCTTTTTACCCTTATAAAAATATTTCTTTGTCTATTGTGAGTTTGTTAATAAATATTGTGAATAAATATTTCTTTGTCTATTGTGAGTTTTTGACTTAAAGTCTATTTTGTGTCATGTAAGTATAGCCAACCTGCTTTTTGTGGTTTATGACTTGCATTGAATATATTTTTCCTTCTGTTCACTATGTGTGTCTTTAAGTCCAAAATGGGTTTTGTATAGGCAACGTATAGTTGAGTCTTCATTTATATTCATTTGGCCACTCTTTTGATTGAGTTTCGTACATTTACATTTCAAGTAATTATTGATAGGGAAGAACATACTATTGCCATTTTGTTAATACTTTTCTGATTTGTAATTCTTTTCTCCTTTTCCTTTCTTGCTATTTTCTTTTTTTGTTTTATTGATTGTTTTGTAATGAATGAGAATGATCATTTTTATTGCCCCAAATCCACAATTTAAATCTGAGTTGCTGACAACCATCTCTTAATTTGCTGCTGAATTGTTTTATACCACCTTGCAAATTTGGCTGTACATTTGGTTTTTCACCGTGACCTTCAATTCTCCTTGAATAATTCCTTGCACAGCATAGGTGATAAATCATTATTTATGGGTCAAACTAACATCCTCTTTTATATTCTTACAGATTCAAATTAACTGCAACATGGGGCTTTTATGCAAGTTTCTTTGTGGTTTTGAAAATAGCTGGTTCTCTAAAAGAGCAGTTCAAAACACCTAAGTAAAGATAATTATGGGTTTACTTTTTTAAAATAACACAATTCAATTTAAAAATACTTATTGCTCACTTTTTGATTATGAGACACATAAGGAAGCCATTCTTGTCCTTTCAGAATTGCTTCATTAGAGAGTATAAGACAAGCCATTTATGATCAGAGTATAAGACCATGAGTGCCAGGAAAGGGGTTCGGAGTGTGGCAGGGGTTGGAAGAGAGAAAGCAGCACATGTGGAGGAGGTTCGGAAGTCTTCATGGGGAGGATTCAAAAGAAGGAGCGGGGAAAGGGAAAAATGCTTAGTAGGGGATGCAGTAAGCAGAGAAACTACAGCTTGGGGCTTTTGACCATGTAATATAGTAAAGGGGCATCAGCCCTGAGTTATTATTTGGGTCATATATGACATGAGAATATAGGGATGGTAGAAGCAGCTGGACTTCATGTCTATGAAGCTTAGCATCCTCTGACAGACTTAGAGTAACTCCTTGCTAACTAGTGAAAATATGATATTCTTCAAGATCTAAAGAGGGAAAAGGGGCTGGATGCGGTGGCTCACGCGTGTACTTCTAGCATTTTGGGAGGCCAAGGCAGGAGGATTACCTGAGGCCAGGAGTTCAAGATCAGCCTGGAAAACATAGGGAGACTCCATCTCTACAAAGAATAATAATAATATCCAGGTATGGTGGCACATGCTTGTGGTCCTAGCTACTTGGGAGGCTGAGGAAGAGGAGCATCTGAGCTCAGGAGGTTAGGGCTACAATGAACTGTGATCGCACCACTGCACTCCAGCCTGGGTGACAGAGCAAGATCCTGTCTCAAACAAAATCCAACAAACAAAAACTAACCACAAAAAAAACATGAAAACGACAACAAAAATAAACAGGAAAAACGGTCTTTAACAGTATGCTTTTTAATGACTAAAATAATACACATTCGTTGTTTAAAAAGACAATTTAGAATCAGGAACTAAAGTATTTTCACTTTTTTGGTACTATTCTCTTTTGGTGAAGAGGGCAGCTGAGGTAGGACCAGATAGCATCTACTCAGGTTACTCAAATATTGCAGTCTTCTTTGATTGAGATCCTCCATTCCAGTTGCCACATGTCGTGAACAAAGAATGAATACTGAGATCTAGTAGATCTGGATGTAAACCCACTTACTAGCTACATGAACATGGGTATAAATTTCATGAGGATTTTGTTTCATTTACTGCTATATTCACAGTAACTAGAACAGTGCCTGGAACTTAACAAGTACTTCATAAATATTTGTTGAGTGAATTAATGGTGCTTTATGAACCTTAGTTTTATTATTAATAAGGTAGGAAATATCCCCAATTCAAAGATTTGTATTGAGGAATTAAACAAGAAAATTATTGGGGAAAGCATCCAACACAGTTCATTTCACATACCAGGTTTCTAAAGACATGACTTTCTTTCCATCCTCAGATAAATATTACATTCAACTATATATTTCAGTAATTAACTGCTTTTTTGTTTTTATGATTATTTTGTTAGTCTGGGTTACTTATAAAGAAAAGGAGTTTACTTTGGCTCATTGTTCTGCAGGCTGTACAGGAAGCATGGCGCTGGCATCTGCTCCTGGTGAAGGCCTCAGGAAGCTTCCAGTCATAGC